ACTATCAAAAACTAATATTAAATCTATAACAATTATATTTTTTGAACTACTAATTACTAAAAGCTCTCAAACTCAAACTATAACAATCTCATTGTATACTCTGTTCTATTTTACAATCTTACCAGAATTATATGTTATCTTATTATCTAAACTGTTTAACAATTTGCAAAAATTTAAAAAAAACTAAAAGCTTTTTTTCTAATAACAAATTCTAAACAACTTATCAGTTAAGATACTATTGTACAAAATTAATTAATTATTACAAATTTGTTAAAATTTTAACAGTATACTTCAATTTGTTACTAAGCAAAAAAACTACATATTATAAACTAAATAGTAGAGTTAAATATCTATTTTCACTAAATATATCAAAAAAAATACAAACATTTAAAAAATAATAGACCTATTAAAAGAACATTATAAATTTAAACTGTTATCAAATGATTTTTTCATACAAAAGCCATTGTTATTAAAAAATATACAAAATATAAAACTTAAAACTCAATTTAGTTATCTTATAATAGATGATGACATAGCAAAAGAACTTTTAAACCAGGCAAAAATAAAATACAAAATACAGTTTTCTATAAACAAAGAAGTAATGATTGCTAATTTAACAAATAAATTAAGATTTCTAAATAATAGTATAAAAATTACAGAAACAACATTACTATACTAATTATGTCTTTCAGAATACTAGTAGATATAGCTAGACTACTTCATAAACACTATTATTTTAAGCAAATATCAGTATATTGGATTAAAATATTAAATAAATAGCAAGAAACAAATGCTCAACCTAATGCAACAAATAAACTAATAATCTTGTTAACATTGATCTAACTATAAGAAATACTTAAAAAAAAAACAAAACAAATATATATTAACTTACTAATTATAAACAAGCAGACATTATATCTATATTAATAATACTTAGATAACACTTCAAAATTTTAAAAATTCTAAATTGTATTTTACAATTACTACTATTTTTAAAACTGACATAGAACATTTTATCTAAATGATAATAACTGAGACATATTAAATAAATATAACAACACTATAAAAAAATATTAAACAAGCATTATCAAACTGTATCAACTAAAATAACTAAAATAATTTTATATAATATATAAGACATTAACAATATCAAACAACAAGCTCAAAAAAAGAAGAATTTACAAATTAGAAAAGAAACTAAAAAAACATTGCTAAAGCTTGTTATAAAAGAGAAAAGACTTTTTTTTCTTTTTGAACTTTAAGTAATTAGATGAACAACCTATCTCAACATGTTTGAAGTAATACAACAGGTCATACTTAGATACCATTTGAGTGGCCAGGTGATGCTAGACTTAGTTATTAGTAACATTTATGTAATTGCTAATATGATTTCAAGAATCTTAATAAAATACTAATATGGCTATTTAAGTTTAAAAAAAAAGAAAAAAAAAGATTTAACTAATTCTAAACTAATAAAATGACATGAATCTTTAACTATTTTGAAATTTAGTAATTGAATTTTAATGATTTTAAGCTTATTAGAATTATCTTATTAAGATAATCATTTTGGTAATAAAATTATTCAAAACAAACAGGTGAATTAAAGTTATTTGTTGCTAAATATTTTGAAAATTTTAATAATAATTTTTTTTTTAAAAAAAAATATTAACGGTAATTTAATAATAATTTCAAATATCCGTAGATATGATATAATTATAAAATTTTATATACAAATTTAATTATACTAAATTATACTAGTAGTATTCAATCCTTAACACCAAAAAAAAAAAAAAAAACTAGTAGTATTCAATACTAAATATATTTTATAATAATTTTACTAGTAATATTTATATAACTATAATAAAACTTTTAGTTAATAAAATTTTTAAAGTACTAAAAATTTTACTTATTACAATCTAATATTGGTTAGTATTTAGCTAGTTTTAAAATATACGTAACAATTATAATGTTGAATATGCCTGGTACGTACGATTTAGTAAAACAGAAAAAATATTATCAAATTAATAGTACTTACTTGTATTAGATTAAATATATTGATTTTATATAAGCATAATCATAAAAAATTTTAAATAATTACAATCTATTAAATAGATTAAATTCACTTTATTAGATAGATTGAACAATTTTATATATAAAATAAAATTTCTATTTGTGTTTATACACGGGTATTAATTAATTAATTTGAGTTAAAAAAGAGTATAGTTTATACCAAAAGCTGTTTTATTATTAGGAATTTGAGTTTGGAGCCGGTTTTATTTTTCATATGTTAAACCCGATTAAAACCGGTTTTACCATATAAAAATAAAACCGGTTCCAAACACTACTTAGCGTTCAAATAGAAATTGATATATCAAATATATATGGGTTTAACCCTGACTTAAGACTAGTTGTAAAAATTCTTATATATTGACATTTTAATACTGTATATTGCATAAATTAAATTGAATAATATTAATTCGAAATTTTAATGAAAATCACTACAATTACTAATTGCAAACATTGAAGGTCCTCAAAGCTTTTTTTTTTAAAAAAAAAAGCTGCAGCGTCTTTAAAGCTTACTAATTAGTTTTATAAAATCATTCCATATGATACCTGAGCCTCAAGTGACCGTTATTATGATAAACGATTAGTACTGTAGTATATCAACATATTGAAAAGTAATACGAATATACATAAAAGAATTACAAATCAAATACAAATACGTATTTTATTTTCTGTTTTTAAAACAGCCTAATACTAAGTCAAGTGGAGAGTATCCACTAATTTTAGACACATGTCGTCATCCCATAGATAATTTAAAATAACAAAATTATTGGTAGATGAATAGAGATAAATCTAACCATAACTGCAAAATATATCCGCGTGATTTATAATGAGATTCAGTGATACAACAGTGGTGGTGGTACGATAAAAATGAATCCTTAATATGAACGATATGCACGATTCAGTAAAGATAATCTTGAAAAGAACCACACAATAACCAGTATTTTTGTGCTATGAAAATTGCAGAGTAACACGGAATGATAAACGAGGGTCCTTTTCTTGAGGATCATTTAAAAAGAGACGATTTTGAAGTAACACATAGATGTATGCCGCGATAAACAGGACGTAAACAAGTCAGCAAGGTTTGCAGGAAATGATATGACAACGTTTCAAAAGAAATGAAATCTGGGGTAAGTAAAGAGACTGACTGATCTACATAATTTGGTTAATATCCGTGTTGTTATTCGGATCGGATTTTTCAAAATTCGTTCAGAAATGACTTTGTTTTGGAATCGAAGATCGTGGAACAAAATAAGACACAAAAGGATAGTTGCGATGACATTCTTTCATGATTATATGCAATAATTGAGTACGCATTGAATTTAAAAGCATATGATTCAGAAACTTTAAGCATCCATTTTGGGAGAGTTGAGTCATATCCATCTATGAGTGTTGCTAAGCCCCACCGGGAAATATATATTTTAGGCGGTACTACGAGATAAATTTGCTTAATTTAGCCAATAATTATTACGTTGCCTAGAGTCTTGATCGAAAATCTGCCGCGCTAAAGACAGATGAGATTACGAGTAAGTCGATCGCAACCTTACAGGGATGTTACGTACTGTACCGATTGCATATTGATTGTGAGAAACACGCAAATTGTCAATTCCCCGCACAAACAGCTGAAATCACCAACACAATGCTTTCTTTGAAAGCTGTCACATAATTCAATTTTCTTGTTAATTAAATAAATAGAAGAAGTGAAAGATAATTACTTTCATTAATATGTATTTATCTAAAAAAAATGATTTTAGCGCTAAATTAGCTAATGAAAGATACTTTAAAACAATCATCGAAGAATGTGTCTCGAATATCACGAATAGTACACGAATGAATGCGAATGAATACACTTTAAAAAAATCGCTAGACATGTAAAAAAAAAAAACACATCATGGTCACTAAAGGTTACTAATGTTGTGCAATATTTGAATGTCAACCTTAAACAAAAAAAAACCAGATTTACTGATAACGACGACGGTACCAATGATTTACGGTATCGTTTGGGGCGCCTGCTGTTTTTATATAAAGTTAGATATTAACATATATCGTTTGCAGTATCGATTAGTACATGAAAGGATTTAATATATATATATATAAAACGGTACTTTATGAGTCATTGACAAGTCTGTATCTATTCATCTGTTTGCACAAATCTGTGAGAAAATTTTTCGGGAGCTTGTCCATACTTGAACTTTTCAGGTTTTTATCTCCAAAAATAGCATGTTCCACGACTTGACCGACTTGGAATTCTAGACCCCCTTAAACCCTATCTGTCTTTTTTTCACCGGTATTCTCCGGACATTTAAATGTTCGAGAAAAAATTCATCGTTCATTTTCAATAAACACAAGAGAAATGAAACTTGTATCGTTTATAAAATTGGAAAAAAAATTAATTATATTTGTTCAAGAAAATCAAAATGATGAAAAAAAATCTCATGTATGTCTTTTCAGACGAAAAATAGAAATGTAACACTTCATTATTCATTGCATGCAACTTGTAGATTACTCGGCATTTAATAAAATATACATGAGTTCATGAGCTGCCACATCTGTGTAACTTTTCTCGTCCCGTTTCTGTGTCATATGAAATAAACATTGCCTTTTGTGTCTGGATTTTTCTAATTAAATCCGTGTCACCTGTCTAACCTACCTGTCACCCAGAAAGTACCCGGACAAAGAAGGGAGATGACGGGTTCCGCCATCTGCAAATTCAAACCGAAAGAATTGTCATTGGTAATCAATTTAAAATCCCCCCACTTGTTTAAATCCCCCAAATCTTATTACCGTGCCACCGTTCAAAAAAGCTAAAATAAAAAAAACCGGGATAACACGCACTGCACAGCAACAAAACAACACTTTATTCTGCTTACCAGTACAGTATAAACAGTATACAACTAACAAACTGAGCGTTTTACTGCTCTTGGCCGATTCGTCAAATGGCAAATAATACTCAAAATACCTCAAGTACGCACTCACAAAACATTCAATACGGCAATATAAGTATGCCTATTCAACCTCAAAGCCAACTAAGAGACAAAATACAACAGGTTAGTACTACGTGACTTGATAACTCGATGGTTTTTTTTTTGATAATTTCGAGGTTAGCAATAAAAAAAACTACAAAATGATAAATGGTCTGCCTAATATTATTACTTCGGTCGTTTGGGTGGATAATTGTCATATTTGTATATTCGCGAAAGTTTAAGCTACGGGTAAAACTTTTGATTTTCGAACAATATCTTCGATGATCAATGTTTATCGTAATCAAATATCAACAAAAAAAAGAAACAAACTTTAGTTCCATGTGTTTTAACTAATTTATTCATTCAAATAGAATTCTTTGGATGAGAAAAGACAAAAGAAGGTAGTTCAACATGGTCACAAACGAAAATTAATGGAGAACGAAAAAGATAAACAAAAGGCAGAATATGAAAGTTCAAGGGTAAGCATAAACTTTTATTTTTATAAAAAAAAATAAAAACAATTTTCTCTATTTACTTATGTGCTCATATAACAACCTCATAACATGCTTAGAACGAATTAAAGAGTCTCTTATCACAATATGGTTCAAAAGCGAAAGTCGCTGATGATCTAGAAAAAGATGCAAACAAAATTCGTGGGAGCATTGAAAATTTATTATCAAGAGTGCAATCGAACAAACTTAACGTTAAGGTTGGTTTTTTTTTGTTTTGTAGTTCTGTGCTACTGCGCCACAACTGCGTAAAATTAATTTATTTTTTTAATTTTTTAGCCAATTTCACAATCAACACCACCTCCACCTCCACCGCAGCAAATAATAGTAAAGCCGAAATCTACTGACTTTCCGTTAAATATATTGAATACCCTCATAACGTCCATCTTGCTCCCTTTCGACATACTATTAAATATAACACGAAGGCTGTTTCGCAGTATAAATCATTGTACAGTAATTTTGGCTTTTATATTATTGATAGAGTGCTTTATTCTTTTGCTTATTTGGGCGTAAGTAATCATCTATCTTTGTTATTCATTCAAGGTCCAACATTATGTACTGACTATGTTTAAATATTTAATAGGGTCAAGAAATCACATCACACTTATCTGTACATTGAACCATACGAACCGGTTGTGCATGGTACTTTTGGAATCGACCAGCCTGCACCCTTTGGGTTAATGTGGTCTGTAATAAATTCTGTTAAGGACTTTTTTGCCGAAGTGATCAATGGAGGTCGCGGGTTCGGCAATCCTAATTATGATGGCTTCGTGCCAATATGACATACGTACATAGTGCATAAATAGATCCTCTCTTAATAATGTAATACAAGGACAATTTCGTTTTTAATCTTTAGAAAAAGAACAATCTTAATTGTTTTGTGTTGGTTATATCGGTAGAGGTTTCTTTTTTCTTTTGTACATATTGTTTTTTTTTTGTTTTAAATACTTTTTTTCGATGTACTTTTTTGTTTTTTTTTTTTTTGTTAGATTTTTTTCCTTTTAATTGCATTTGCACAGTACAAAAAAAACACACCACGCATTTAAAAAAAAAATTTTGCATACAATTCACCAACCTAATGCACATTTGTCTACAAATCTTCAATAAAATTGAAAATTTTTAAAAACAATTCACTCAATTCATTTTTCTAGGAAAATGACTCGAGCTTACCTGGGTACGTATGTGTATATCGTTTAATTCTTTTATTACACTAATAATAATTTCTATATTGATTCCGGTTTAAATTTCGGTTCAAAAAACAATTTAATGAATTACAATCTCCCCTTGTGCCATGACCAATTCATTTTTCTAATTTGGTTAATTTGGCTATCTCGGGAGTAAAAACAAACAACGGATATTACTACACTCTCATGATTTCAGTTTATATCATTGATGAGTCACTCATGTCCGTATAATTTTCATTTATAGTTATCGTTATAGTTTCCTTCCTTATTTGCAATGATTATTCCTGTTTTAAAACGGTTATCAAAGAATAAAGTTATCAAACAAATAGGCGTCGATATTTTTTTAATAAACATCGCTATTGTTTAAAACAAACAAATTTGACTATCATATTATTAGATGACGTAGTTGTCAATAAACATATAATTGTGACATTTTTTAATTGTTTTTAGGTTTTACCTTTTTATCTATTAATTGGATATCGTTTAAAGTATGATCTGCGCGGCTGATATTTTGAAGCCGTTTAAGAAGTTGCATCTCGATTATACGTAATTAAATCTACAAGTTTTTTTTATTATATTTGCTATAAATTATTATAGTGTTTCACAAAACTTTTAAGAAATTTGACCAATTCAAATGTTTAATATTGTAGTCTTATAATAATCAACGTTTGGAACAATTTATATATTATAAAAACATTCAATATTGTGTATTCTTAAATATATAATTGCAACTTGTATATACATACTGTAGAATGTATATATATTTTTTTTATACATTGTATGTAAAAAAATAATATTTTAAATATTTTAAATATTATCGTTATAATTACTACATACTGTATAACTTCGTTATTATATATTAACACTTTTTATTATTATATGTATACTGTATATATGCGTACTATACAGATATGTGTTCATACTGTACAGAATGTTTTATATAATAAAATATGATTAAATTTTTCTTGCTTATATAAAAAAATAAGTACATTTTATTTATAATATAGTTTTACTTAGTCAATACTATATATTAATATTATTAAATAAGTTGTACAAAGAAGTTTTTTAAAATATACATATATGGTCCAGTGCAAAAAGGTTGATACACTAATATACTTTTAGCAAAAATTTTTTTTAAACAAAACTAATATATATATTTAAGATTATTTAAAAAAAATCAAAGTTTTAAAATATTATTTAATATTAATTTTATTAAAATTTTAATTTTGCAAAAAAAATTTTACTGATTATCAATTTTTTCAATTTTAGAATTATCATAATCATTTTCAACTAGTAATATATTATCACTTAATTCTTTATATTTTATAGCTTTATTAAATAATCTTTTTTAAAATTCAACAATATCTTTTAAAGTAATCTTTTCTTTAAAAACTTGTAACAATTTATTTCTAATAGCAAGAAGATTAGAATAAGAACCAGTTTTAGCTACTTTATCTTTTACAATTGTTCAAATTCCTTTAATAGATTGAAGTTTACAGTGATAAGATAAAGTATAAAGCAAATTGTAATCATACTTTTTAGTAATTTTAATATATACAAAAGATACTTTATTTTTATTCAATTTTATTAATTTACTCTTTCTGATGATCATTTGAACCAAACTTTTCAAAAAGCTGAACTACAGAAAATAATATAGTTAATATATTAAAC